GTAATCTTAGCTTCTCGACCCCACAAAAGATCCATCCGAAAAACAGTTACAACCCCAAACTTCGCACAATCCTGAACTCGTCTGCTGCCTGGCATGCTAGATTGCTACCTCCACTGCTGACACTCTGTGTTTGCGGCACTTTCTGCGTGGCTACGGAATCCAAGGACTATAGCAGAACCCGCAAACCACCAATACTACATAGACATATATGTGAGTTGGCCTCGGATGGTTTGCAGTTCAAGACGAGTCCAACTACCAATGCTTTGAGGCGAAAGGCACAGCTGTTGCTACCAAATAGTAGCAGCCCTAGGTAACGAGCCCTGCAGAAATAATGGAGCAAGACCCGCACGTGGTCGCACTCTAGTGCTAGCAACTGGCACGATGGTCTTCTAATAGTTCTGTTTCTTTGGACTGCTACAACACTTGCGATCACACTCACAGCGAACACAGGAGACACTGTCATCACTACTGCACAAACCAACAGTAGACGACGGATCCTAACCTGACGACAAAAGGCTGTATTGGTAAGGACCGCTTCAGTAGTATACTACTGCTGAAACAATCGAACGGCTGGCTTTGGAATGAAAAGCATAACACTACGTTGGTCGCAACATTTGGAACAACCACAGTATCCAGTCCATAGAAAAACCTACAAACATGCTCCGGACACAAAAGGATATTCAGGGTACTAGGTAGGCTCTCTCGTCTCGTGAATGCAGCTATCAAAGGAACACCATGTACGACACGTGTCTTCTACTAGGTTACTGTTGGTATGCCGACTAGCTGCAGTGGATAGGGGCTTCTCCAGCCGGGCATCAGGATGGAGATCCATTCTCTCCAAAAGCTCTTTGTGCTGCGATGAAACCACAATACCACCCAGCATATGCTCGAAAGCAGCGGAGTTCACATACCCGACGTGCTCGTGGAGCATGTTCAAGTGCGACTTGTGCTTTTGCTCAGATGCACACAGGATTGAACTTCACAGACACCCTTACAAGCAACCCCAGCCATGTCAAGCACTACTGTTTCGATCCAGCAAATATTTTTGCAGCAAAAGGCACAAGCCAAAGGCACATGTCGCCAAAGCACCAGGTGAGGGCGGAGAGGCTCTCGAACAAAGCATGCGATTGCTGGTCCACCAATGCCTGAGTTAGCTCACAAGTACAAGTATATGTGTAGGGCCTCAGCAAGACATGCCACCCAGTGCTTGCAAGCTACTCGCACACACAAATCTATGGTTCGATCGAAATCGCAGCCGGAAGGTCGGCCAGCACTGTCCAGAACAGTGAAGGGATTTGTCCCGGCCTGCAGGTCATGCAGCATGCAGCATAACATCCAACAAACCTGCCGAGTCGTTGACACAGATCTATTGTGCTGAAAACACCAACCACATGGCACACTTGACCTCCATAGAGGCCCACAGCACCAAGAGTAGCTGGCAGCTGTAGAACTCCCGGAACTTGCGAGAGGCCAACTGCCAGCTGCACCAGCGTTTGTTTTCGAATCTGGAAGCAACACTCCTTGGATGACACAACAAATGCCCTAATGGTTCCAGGAACCTAAGCAATCAAGAATCTTGGAGCATGCACCAATCACTTGGCACACTTTCTCGAAGGCATCTTGCCCCTCCACGTCTCCGTGCCACGAGTTCCTGCCAGGAAACATAGCCAAGGCGAGCAGCGGGTACTGTCATTGAAAACACGGCTCTGCAAGCAAGCAGCTCCCTCAGGATGGCTGGTCCAAAAAGCTCTTGCAGCGTATCACCTTCCATTGCCTGGGCAGGTGACCAGGCATGCCAGTGAAACTGATGGCAAGAAACAGCATCCTACGTCGCCTAGGACTTCGGGACTGTTCTGAACTCGGTCGCGTCGTTTGTAGTGCTACCGTTCTGCAGTTTGTCATTCGCTTCCCGCGTGCAGTACCGTCTACGTCTACGTGCTTTCCTGAGACACCGTGCCAACCGCTTACTCAATGCCGAAGCACCACCTGCAAGTACCGTTCTCCTGCGGATTTCCAACTCTGGCCCACTTTGCTCGTAGCCCATGGTGATCGGCGAGCCTTCATGAGCCACGATGTCAAATACGTGGCTCCTCGGAGCCAGGACATCAGGAGCAACAGCTAGGCCGGCCACGTACACAGCAACTTCTCTCAGAACCCAAAGATTATCCGAGACACTTCTGACAGCTGGAGTGCAGCTGAGAACTCGCAGATAGTGCGTCTGTAGTTTGTGCCTGAGACTGAGATTGCACTGGCTATGTTGATTGTGAAAATGCTTGAGAAAGCCCTACTCTGTCACTTTGTGCAGTCAAAATCACACTTCGTCGCGAAGCAGCAAAACCCTGAAGTTCTTGGACTGCATCCATTGCACCGCACAAAACATCGGGCCCCCTTCATCCGGCTGCACGATCAGCCGCAATTCCTTCTGAGCAGCAGGCCGCACCGAGTCCCAGACAGAAGCCCCCGACTCAGCAGACCACAAGTAAGCTTGGCCCTGGTAGAAGAAGCGTTTCTCGTTCGTACTCAAGTCTGCCGGTCGTAGCGGCTCAGACGGTGCGATCACCTCGATATCCAGGACGTTGAGAAGATGGCAGAGGCAGCGAAGGTGCTCTCTGGAAGATAGCCTTTGCTGGCGAATCTTCTTCAATGCCTTGGGCCTCAGAGGTGCGGCCGCTTCTCCCCGACTAGGTGGCTCTTGCAGCACATGGGGAAGCACAACATGGCAAACTCATTAGCCTGGTCACATCTTCGTGTTGGTCTTGCTCTCGGAGTCCGCTTCCAGCAGCTTCTCAGCCACGTTGTGGCAGAGAGCCGTTGCCTCTGCCATCTTTGTTTGGACGGGGGCAGTGCTTGGCAACAGCTCGCTCATCCGCTGCAAAGTGAAGGGCACACACAGAGTGGACACCGACAAGATCGGTGCCCAGACCTAAGGCAAGTCACGAGTTTTGTCTACGTTCAGAGCGTTTCAGAAAACAAGGAAACAGAGGAAGGAGAGACGGTGACAAATCATACGACTTCAGCACAGCTTCGTCCATCTTGCTTTTCGGAGATGCATCGCAAAGTACAGAAATGGATCGAAATCGTTGCTTTTCCATTGCCTGGCAGACAAGGCAAAACAGCAAACGGGATCAGGAGCGCACTTGCATGAATTGCCTCGTGGATCGCCAGTGCCCCTTTCCTGATGAACCGGAAAGCATAGTCCGAAGCCAGCCTGCTGTCAGAAGCAGGACATTCAGGTCTGGCGCTTTGGCAGCATTCCTACAGGAACTTCGCTGCATTAACACGGACACAGCGGCCTGTGGCAATGAGATGGCACCACATCTTCTAGACCCAGCTCTCTCAGGCTGGCGTCCTGAGTCCGGCCCTGGAAGCCAGCAGTTTTGCTGAGCCATCTGTTGATGCTCAGCACCACCTTCGGTTTGCAGTCCTGGCGAAGAGCTCTGCCATCCCTGAGCTGCCACGTGGGAAGCTCCGGCGAAGAGTGCTTCCAAGCACGTTTTTTTTGCTGCCTGGATACTTCTTGCACGGATGGAACTCATCATCTTGCGTGGGCATCGGCATAGTCTGCTGCAATTGCAGCCCGACGTGGTCCTCGGCCCTCTGGCACAGGAAATGGATGACACGTCGCTGGACACGAGCGACCGCAACTTTGCCCTGTCAGGCGGACAAACCAGTCTTGTGAGATAGGTTTTGAGTAGAAAAACACGAGACTCCGTCAAAGCTGCAAAGCCCCGCCTGGGCACAGACATCGTCGGACACGCATCGCAGGATGAACCAGCAGACGGTGGCAAGCCTGATTCCTGCAGCGTTCTGTGTGTTTTGCTCCTGGGGTGCGACACAGCACGAGCGAGTCCTGACTGGAACTGTTGCTGGGCTTCGCCAAGGAGTTTGCACTTCTGCCACCTCTCCAGGACTTTAAGCCTTTCTCAAACAAAGCGAAACCACATGGATACCTGACGGCCTCTGAGTCCAACCCAGGAACTTCAAGCACTGCTGCCAACTGCCACTGTTCACCTCGTGCCCATGACACTGTAGGCAGCCTCGGCAATCATGACTTGCGCTTCGAAAAGAAAATCAAAGAGCCAGCTCGGGCGAGGCACACTTCTCCAGATTGGGGAGCAGGGGCACTCGTAGATCGGGAGGGCAGGCGTGAGCGATGAAAAGGTCCATGGCCTGAAGGGCCGCCTCTTGATGTTTCGGGTGGCACGATCTCACTTGCAGCACCGATGCCACCTTGGTTAAACCAGGGGCAGAGGCTGCAGTGTGCACATGGCAAGATTGTCTCCAGAGTTATATAGTGCTGCCAAAATGCACAGAACCAAAACCCAGGAAAAGTGCAAGCGTTGAAAGGAAGTCGAAGCTTGACTTGGCTTGTATCCAACTTTGAGCCTTTGTAATCACCTGAGCGAATGATGTGGAGGTCGTAGTTGATTCGCCATCTTTGGCTCACCTCGTGCGTGACGTTGTCCCGCCTGAAACTGCCCATGAGCCACGATTTCGTTCTTCGCAAAATTGGCCGGTCACATGCCGCATGTGTGCTAAAACGCATCAGAGGTGCAATTTGGTGAACCAATTCGGGAATGCTTGTTCACGGGCAAGCAACGGCCAGATTTCCTCCAGCCTAAGCATCAGGGTGTAGCCTTCGATGGCGTAGTCCTTGTCCACCTCGGCTTTCGAATGCTCAGTTTTGAAGGAAAAACACTGCAAGGTTCTTTTCGCAGGGCTTCTGTCCACCCTCAGTACTTACAACTTTCCGACCACGACAGCCGGCCCGGGCAGGCCTGATGGACTTGGAGCACTCCTTGCCGCCCCTGCTTTGTTTTCAAGTACATAGCTTTCGTCGGCGTCGTAGGCTTGCCCTTCTCAGAGGCAGGACTCGTGGTCAGAGCCTGCTGCGGCTCCTCGACATCCTGCACAGCCGCCTGCTCCAGACTGGGCCGGATAGGAAAGCCTGCTGAGGCTGCCAGAGCTCGGTTGTCATGCAGCAATGCCTGATCAGGGGGCTGCCCACTGCTGCAAAATTTCAACAACTCAAGCAGCTCAGTAAGCTGGTGGCATGAGCTTATCAATTTCTTGAGAACAAGGCTCCTCCCAGTCGCAAAGTGCTAGAGGAGCATAGCCATCACCGATAGACTGCCCAGCGGCAACCTTCGAATCGATGAAGGCCAGCTTCTTGGCGATGCTATCCTGCTCGAGCTGTCGCTCCGAGCCATCGCTCCTGAAATATGGGCAAGTAGGCGTTGGCAGGGGCTGCTCTCGAAGCAGAACCATCGAAGCAGAATCATGAAACGAAGCAGAACGTTAGTTTCGGCCAGGCCGCGCTCTGGCCTTGTCCAGCCGACTGGAAAACCAGTTTCTCAGGCCTGTGCGGCAGCCATGGTTCTGCTTCGGTTTGGGGAGGCGGGATGGTTCCACTTCGCGGTTTGGTGTTCTGCTTCCCGCGGGTGTGTTCGTGGGAAGCAGCATCATGAATCGAAGTGGAATCATGGTCGAAGTGGAATGCGTTTCCCCAAGGCATCCAGCTCTTAATGAAAGTTGGCTCCGTTTCTAACGAGAATTCCGTTTCATGATTCTGCTTCCCGCGTCTGTGCTCGCGTCCGTGCCGTCGGCGCCCGCCGGAACTCGCGAAGCAGAATCATGCGAAGCAGAACGTTGCCCAAGGGCCCCAAGCTTACTCCAAGCAGAATCATGAATCGAAGCAGAACCATCAGCTGCACTAATCTGGCTGGGAACTGCTTCTGCCTTGAAACTCTACTAGAAGGACCGCCCCTGTCCCAGACTTTTGGCCCACGAGGCAACCCTGCCCTCCCAGTACTACGAGCAAGCCACTACAGGTTTTCGGACTGTCGGGCAGAGTGCCGAATTTCGGTATCTCACTGAGACCAATAGGAAGCAAAGACCACTACGGCAGACGGACTTTTGCAGTGAAATCTTTGCACTGAAGTCTTTGGAGGCTCTTCTGGTACCTACCCCCACGAGATCCAAATTTCAAGAGAATTACCCGTCCCCAGTTCCAGAGCAAGCCCAAGAGTCAGAAGACTTAGCCATAACCCTGCTTTGGTGCAGCCCGGTGGCCTGCAAGACAGGACACCGCTTGTCCCTCTGCTGCCATGGTTCAAC